CGGTGGCTTGCGAGTCCAGCCGCAGACAAACACGGTCTATTGCATACGTCGCACACAAAATTCGAGCTAGCGACGACGTGTTGATTATTATTCACATGCCGAGGACCGTCGTCAAGAACACTATTACTTGTTGCTGCTTCTGTGACGTCAGGGCTAAGTTCTTCCATCGGCACACGAATCTCGCCTATATGGACATTAAAAGTATATATTGAGACGTTAAGTATAAAACACGTATAAAATAATGCCTTAAAGGAAAGTTTATTAATTTATATAGTCTTGTAGATTTTTGTGTAATTATATTAGGTAGTTAAATACAACGGGGGCATGGTGCATCAAAAACACGGAGTAATGTATTTTGAAAAGTTTGAGTTATGTGGTTGTTAGACAGGTTAGGCAAGGCCCCAAATTCGTTACCATTTGACCAAACTGGTCTGTTCAGCTTTGTACAGCCGTACAAATTCTGAAAATTAATTTAGAAGACGACGAAAAATATGGAGTCTGGATTGACTATTTTTCTCAAATTTGTAGATGAGGTTTGTGGCAGGTTACTGGTTAGCCGTTTGTCATCAATAACAATTCAACCATAATACTATTAAAATTCAACTGTACACAGAACTTAAGGATATCATAATGCTGAGACTATTCCAATTGCCTTTGAAAAATCTTTTTTTTTTATTTTTAAAATGATTTTGCTTATAGTCAGTTACCATTTATCATCGTGTATCATATTATAATATTATATCACATATCCACGTTCTAACTAAAAATAGACTAATACCTATTATGTTTATTTACTTGAATAATTGTCGACTGCACGCGTATCTGCATCATTCCCGAAAATTATGTATTCTGATTTGGATTCAAGCATGTGATTTATTAATAAAAAATGAATAACAGTTTTTATGATTGGCCGTTTTGCACCCGTATGACTATTCTAAATGATGATTTAAAATGTTAGTAAAAGTTAGATTGCTTTTCATTCAAAATAAATGTCTATAATAAATAAATAATTATTACCTATACACGAATAGTCCTTAATCTTATAATATATTAATATGAATCGTGCCACTATTTGACCAATCATCTAATAGTAGTTACCTACTTATAATATACTCAAACAACTCACTATATTATAGGGAGTATCGACCCTATACCATAATATAATATAATTTAAAGATTTTATGTTTATTTTTGTTAAGTATATTACAATTTAGGATAATGTAAAATTTAAAAAACAGAAACAAGGTGTAGGAATAGGTATCTACTACCGTAGACAGGAGTCATATAAAAATCAGTTCCGTACGCGCTCTGAGTGTTACCACCACCCGGGATTTTTAGCAACAAAATCCTTGCCATACATACAATACGTATTCCAAACCTACCGTCCCCCTCTACAAGGTACAAACAGCTAATGGTCATAGTTACCAAGCTTGGGTTCAATAAAAAAATAAAAATTGATGCCTTTAATGGTCAACATAAAAGTTTAAAATAATGTTATTGCTGCATGCTTACATTTTAAATATGTGTATTGAGAACTAGTTGGTTATAATAAATAATTTAAAACAACTGTTTTATTTACTTAATTTTATTTTTATCAACATTATAGGTATTTAAGTATATGTATAATTTACAATAATTTATCAATAACTATTCCATATTATACCATATTTATTATTACCATGATATAATGGGTAATTGATTGCTCATCAGGATTGGGTATTAAAACGATTGCTCTAAAAACTGCTCGTACGTAGCATGTAAAACATGTTAAATCTGGACAAAAACATGGCATAAATGATGTCATATCTAAAATAAACATAAAATGTCATTAAAATAAATATTGACTGAAATGTTTAATAAAATATTAGATTATAGAAAGAATAAACACTTACAAAGCCAATAATAAACATGTAGGTTCTATACAAACTCAGTTTTTCATATATTAGCCAGTAAATATAACATACAAACAATTTTTTAACTACCTATAGGACAAATTTTTTTTTAAACTATCTATAGGTACTTAGATAAAAAATGTGTACTTGATTTTGAATAAATAATAGTTATAATTTGCTAAAATAAAAATGTATTCATACCGATACCGTAATGGTAATATTGTCTTCTACGTTATTCTTCCGCCCGCAGATTGCATTATTGACCTTGTGGGATAGAGGGTGTTATAGAAGAGGTCCCTTTCACCTACCCTCAACAGCTCTCACTCTCTCCTCCTCCTCCTTCATCGTCATCACATCTTCGACCATCTTATAGATATAGAATATTCTAAAGGTCTGCTAGGCGTCTCGTAGGATGGCTTCCTTGTGTTCCAGGTTGGCGGGGAGACCCTTGAAAGCCGGTCCGCAGATCCGAGAGGGTCAGGCGGCGGCCGAGGTGCACCTCTAGGTCACTTATGTGTCCAGACCAGGAAGGACACTTGAACAGGGTATGGTTGGCAGTGTCGGACTCTCCATCGCATTGGTAGCAGCGCGAATTAGCGGCCCTGCGCCCCTGCCCATCCGATAATATCATCATTCATCACTATTCGAACTCACGGCCATTACTCATTAGGCTTTATAAGCATTAGTTATTAATGTTATTATAATCATTATTCATTAATAATTACAATATTCCACGCTGCACAGCAATCGTCGGAGGTGTCACCGACCCACGTTCTTCTCACATCCCTTGACACCGCGGGCGAGTACGGCGGTCACGGCATCGCAGGACCACCCACAAAACGTGATTCCAGGGCTGCGGACTGCGGTCAGCCCCTGAAACAAACATCATGTGATCAACGACACCCTACGCGATTTTTGTTTTTTTTTTTAAATGTAAGTCCACCGATCTCCGCTCCCAGGTGGACACATACCTGGCAATAGGGAAAGTTCATTTGGTAGTGGGGAAGGGCGCATCTCAGGATGCCAATTGCTGTGAAACTACTTTTGTTTTTTTGCCATAATAAATGATGGAGACCAGGGGAGAAGCAATGCCAACACCAGTTCCTCCTCTGGTTCTCGATAACAAGAAAAAAAAAGTGCTGACTGGATGCTGGAACATATTTTAATTTGCTCATGATCTGCAGATTTATCAGATTCTCTGGTAAGTGAACAACACTATAGCATTGAACAACTTTGATAATGCAATTGTCAACTTGCGTATTTTGTGTATAGGAAAGTATACATTTTTACCTATTTTAAACATGATGTCTTACAGAAAACAAATCATACTGTTAAATCTAGGTAGGTAGGTACTTCAGTTCTTCACTTCAAGAAGTTGACAAAGAACAAGGCAAGGAGCAATGAAAAAAATTGAGTTCTTTAGGTACCTATACTTAATACTCATTGAATAGACGTATTATAGTGCACTTCTCCTAATATTTCAGTAGTAGATATCTGGTACAGGTATTAATACAGTACCTACCTGGCTACTTATAAACAAAATATTTTTTATTTTTTATATTGCCTATATTACTCAAGAGTAGTGTAGCTTTCTGCTGGTAAAAACAATTTTAGAATCGGTTGAATAATTTCAGAGATAACCCCCTACAAACAAGTAAATAAACAATTTTAGCTCTTTATAATAATATTATTTATTGGTATAGATTTACAATTACTTATATTTTATATCCATTCAAGTATAAAGCATTATTATCATCCCTATTTAAGCCGCATGGTTGCTTTTGCCACTCCCATTTCTTGTCCGAAGCTGAAGTTATGAAATTAAATATCCATTATCCAGATCGTCAAAAATCATAGTTGAATACTTCAATGTTATATCAATAGATAAATGTTTCGAAATAATTAAAATTGCGGTATCCTCTATAGTTATAATGTAATTAATACATTTATTACAATACTCCTCCAGGCAATAGGTAATTAGATATTTTTAGATTGTCACAAAAAAAATTACATTTTCCAATTGATATTGATTAAATCATACGATTCGTGTGTTGGTAATAGTACATTGGCTACATATTGCTACTAGATTAGTGTAGGTATTATTCAGCTGATGAAGTCTATAACTTAATTTGCAATAACATGATCGATTTTAATAATTTAAAAAAAATGTTTTATAAAAATATGATCAAGAAAATGGCCATCTTAAAAATGTAAGAAAATCATCTGCATATAAAATGCAATTTGTCGTGTAGATTATTTTATAGCCATATAAGTATTACAATATTATGAGTTATGACATCAGCTATATTTCAATATATGCCCGTATTTTAAGTGGGTAGACGTCGTCTCTTTGTCTCTTGACTCTTATGAAGCTCATATTATCTATGTTCTATGATGAAGCTTCGCCGCTTAGATCTATTTAGAATATTATTTAGATCAACGAAGCCACCAACCACGATTAAATATAATATATAGTATCTTTAATCGTGCCACCAACTCAATTTTGTTTACTTTATGATTGTTATCAGATTATTTATTTTTGTTATCATATTGCCGTACTGTTCTTATCATTGTGATTGCACGTGTTGTTTTAAGGTTACCACTTACTGATAATAAGTCAATTGATTTGATACTTGCATTTTGTTAATTATATGTTTAAAATGTTAAATTTAATGTAACGAGAAACGAATAACAAATCAACATTTTGTATTAATTACTTTAAGCAATTACGTCTTACCTGAACTTACATTTATCTCTTTAACATGAATTGTGACGAGTTTGGCGATGGTCTAGAAAATGACTGTGTTATTAATCGCGAAAAGGATCCAGTAAATTCAAAAGTATTTGGTGTTAATAGGAGATCAAATTTTTCAAGAAAAGTAAGAATAACTAACACACTTTGCAAAATCATGTTGAGTACTAATTTTATTGTTTTTTTCCCCTAGGAGAAAGGTAATGATGCCAGATTAAATGGAAAAAATTCAAATTATCAAAAGAAAAATAACAATGACAGAAAAAATGGATACGTATCTTCAATGTTTAGAAATAACCCAGAAGTACAATTACCTGTGGCTATACTTAATAAACAAGTTGACATTCAAGCTATTAACAAAAATAAGAATTCATTGTTTTCCACTTCAACATATAAAGAGTTAACCGATCTGCATGCACACATGGTTTGTGAAGAACATATGTTTTTCTTCTATGATTATTATTATCCATATTAATGCACAATAATTAGGTTTCCAATTATAATTAATGTTAGAGTCTTGATAAACCATATAAACCGAAATGTTTTATCCTACATTCAGGTTATTTTTTGATTCTAATGAGTTGGTAATAATAATATGAATATAATAGATTCAGTCTCAACGACACATCATATTAACCATAGTTAATAATGTAAAAATAATCTGGTTCAATGATACTTAGATCATTTTAAACTATTTTAATTAAATATAATTTTGATCAATGTTATTGCTGAGCTTAAAAGATAATGATATACATTAATATTATATACATCTTTAGTTTGGAAATTGTTTGATTAATGTTTTTTTGGTATCTCCTTTTAAATGTTAAACAAATTATGGGTAGACTGTAGGTAGTTTAAATTATGAGGTCATATCTACCTGTTCATTATTAAAGTGCATCTTCAAGTATTTAAGTGTTATTTAAATAAATTATTGTTTCGAATTATCCATTTAAATGAGGCCATAATTCTTCAAGTTTCAAGCTCAATTATCTATTATTTATGTTATTTAGATGATTGCTAGGTTTTAAGATATAATTATGCCTAACCATCAGTTTTCATTTTTTTTCTCTGACAATAGGTTGCAAATTTGGAACAAACTTTAGGAGTCACAAAATTAACAACAGTTCAAAGTCAAACAATTCCTGTCTTACAATCGGGTAAAGATGCAATGGTTCAATCTGAGACGGGCAGTGGTAAGACATTTGCGTACGCTGTTCCGCTTATTGAGTCATTACATAAGATTCGACCAAAACTATCTCGAACTGATGGCCTTAGGGCACTAATTATTTTACCAACCAGAGAATTAGCATTGCAGACCTATGAAAATTTTGTCAAGTTATTAAAAGTAAGATTATAAAAATATACAGGATTATAAATATCAAATTAATAATAATATAATATAATTTTGTAGCCTTACACATGGCTTGTGCCTGGTATGTTTACGGGTGGCGAAAAAAGAAAATCTGAGAAGGCACGTATGAGAAAAGGCATCACAATACTTATAGGAACTCCAGGAAGATTATTAGACCATGCACAGAATACCAAGTCAATATCTTTTAAATCACTTCAATGGTTGATAATTGATGAAGCTGATAGAATGCTGGATCTTGGATATGAAAAAGATATTACTAGGTAAGGATATTATTTCAACTAAAAAAGTAATACAAGTATGTAGGAGTGGCAAAATGTCATGGACCGCAATGAGAAATACGTCTTCTCGCTTACAATACAGACTAATCAATTAAGTAATGAATTTAAAAAAATATCTTTTTTACAAATTTGAATGTCATAAATCATAATAATATATTAAATATTTAAATATCTGTCAAAATCTATCCTTTTTTTATACCATTTTAGTATTCTTAGAATAAACTAGTTACAAGCCTTGCATGTGAGCTAATGGTGCCCGATGTTGGCAGATCATTTCAGTAAAATATCCAAATACAGTATAAATTGACTATACAAATAATTATGAGATTATGGCTCTTTTTCTAGTTTATGTTTGCCCCAGGAAAGTGAGTGGAGGTTATCGTCGCACTATGGGATGCATTCTTATTTTTGTTTATTTTATTTTTCAGTAATTTAAATTAATCGTGAGTATTTGAAAGTTATTGTGGTTGGTTTTTCATTTACGGTTTCTTTATTTCTTGTGTGATATTGTCTAAAATATATGAGCATCAATAATATTGTCATTGTACTTGATTTTTTTTTAACATCTCCCCAATCTTAGGACTCACACCTCACCTTTGTTATGTAATTAGGTACTAAATAATGTTGCAATCTTGATTTTTTTCAATTAATTATTTTTGTTATAGTATTTTATCTGTTGTTGATGAACATCGTGATGAGTCTGTGCCTCGACAAACAGCTTTATTATCAGCAACTTTGTCTGAAGGAGTTCAGCGGCTTGCAGGATTGTCATTGAAAGATCCTGTTTACATTGATGCATCTTCAATAAAGGATACAGATTCAGAATGCTTGGCTATACCAGACAGTCTTTTACAATATTATGTTTTAGCTCCTCCTAAATTAAGACTAGTTACACTTTCTGGTGTTTTGTTACAAAAACTACAAGTAAAGATTTATTCAATTAAAAAATTATGATACTATAAAAAATGAAATACTTTTTTAATAAATACATTAATTTTTACAGAAAGGTCAAGTTTCAAGCAAAACATTAGTTTTTATGGCCACTCAAGATATGGTTGACTTTTATACAGAATTATTAACTACTGTTCTAACTTGCTTAACCATGTTCAAACTCCATGGTAATATGACCCAAGTAGAACGTATGGAAGTTTTTAAATCGTTTAAAGCTGCAAATCATGGTGTTTTATTTTGCACAGTATGTTATTTATTTTCCATAAAAATAAAAATTTATTCTAATTTAATTCAAATATCAAATGTTTGTCAAAATATTTATAGAAAAATAGTAAGTTCTTATTGAATGTTTTGGTCAATTTCTATTCAAGAAAAATAGTATAATAAAAGCAGTATATTTTCATTATATCAAACTATAAATACAAATTATCAATGGAAAAGTAATAATGTTTTCCTTTAAATATTCATTGTATTTTATATAAACATCTAAATGTATAACTAAAAATATTTCTGTTGCAATTCTTTTTTTGCTGCCTTTGCTGCCTTGAGTTTTGTTTCCCAAATTTATTGTGTAATAATATTTTATTTTTCAAAATTTTTATTATCATTTAAAAAAAAACAGTCTTAATAAGTAAATGTGTATGCTAATATGGTGGTTAGATCATTATATTTACTAAGTGTTAAATATTTTCAGGATGTGGCATCAAGAGGTCTAGATTTACCATTAGTAGATCGTATAATACAGTACAACGCTCCAATCACACCAACGGATTATGTTCATAGAGTTGGTCGAACTGCTAGAGTTGGCCAGAATGGAGAAGCTACATTATTTTTGACTCCACATGAAGCTATGTTTATAGCTAAACTTCAAGACCATTCTATTGTGTAAGAACTAAATTCAAATATTAAGAGGACGCTACACCCGCATGCGTTGTCTCCGTCTTACAAACGATTAACATACCAAATTTACGCTCAGCAGTTCAAGTTTTATGTCGTTAGCTTAAATATTAGATTGAATTAACCTATTATGAAACTTGATGGTAAGAACTTTATCCGTGTTTTGTTGGAAGTTTTTTTACGATACTTCAGTTTTTAAGCGAGGTATGCTTGTATAATAAATGTAAATTAAAAATGCTCATAACTCACTTAAAAACTGAATTATTGTAAAAAAA